TGCAGACCCACAGACACTGGCACTCCAGACTCCCTGGCCACAGGATCTTGTGAGCCCCAGAGTGTGCCCCCCTCCTGCCAATCCTGCCACTTCAGCCACAGGCCCTACCCAGCTACCCAACACCTGGGCCCTCTGGTGAGTCTTAGAGTGAGCGACCCTCCTGCCAAGCCCACTGATTCAGACACAGGCCCCACACGACTTGGCACATGGACCCCTTGGTGAAAGCAAAAATGGGGAGAAAAAGAAACAACCCCCAAAGGAAAGAAAAGGAGGAATTGCCAGAAAAGGAATTAAATGAAATAGCAGCATGCAATGTCAGAAAAAGAATTCAGAGTAAGGATCATACAGTTTGTAAACCAGCTGCATGAGAAAATCAACAACCTATGTAAGAATTAAGAGAAAATGAAGAATGGCCGAAACCGGTTTGGCTCAGTGGACAGAGCGTCAGCCTGCGGACTGAAAGGTCCTGGATTCGATTCCGGTCAAGGATGAAGAATGTTATAGCTACAATAAAAAACACAATGGAAGGTTTCAATAGTAGAATAGAAGAAGGTGAGGACTGAATTAGCAAGTTAGAAGACAGGGCAGAAAAACACATCCAAGCTGAACAGCAATTGGAGAAAAAACTTAGACAGCATGAGGAGAGTCTAAGGGGGTTTGGGGACAACATGAAATGAAGTAACATATGTATAAAAGGGGTGCCAGAAGGACAAGAAGAGAAGCAAGGATTAGAAAATCTATTTGAAGAAATAATGACAGGACATTCCGGGGGTGGCCAATGTGGGCACAGAGACCACGCCATCTTGAAAAACAAAACTGCTTGAGATTAGGATTCTAGCCTCACCACCACAAATCGGGACCCTACAGCCACTAGGGACAAAGACCTGTGACCACAGCTGAAGACCCACAGACACCAAGAATCCAGACATCCCAGCCGCAGATTTCTGAGCCACAGAGCACATCCCCCTCCACGCAGGCCTGCTGCAGTGGCATAGGAACTGCTAAATCCGCTCCACGCAAGCAGGCCTCCTGCCCACACAGGGCAGCTGCGCTACCTGAGTTTGAGGTTGGGCACACAGACACTGGGAGGTTGTCTCCCGCAGCATGCAATCGCACGACCAGACCCCACAGCCACACAGGGTGGCTTTTCCACCTGACTGATTTTGGGCAAGCTCACATGGAAGTCTGTTTCCCGGAGTGCAGGAGTGGACGTCCCGCTGACACAGGGTGGCTGTGCAACCCGGTCCCCGAAGCAGACTGGGGACCCTGATTCTCCATGAGAGAAGCAGCACTGAACACCAGTGACTTGACTCTGTTTCTCATTGCACACACGTGGGATCCCTGATTCCCAGTGAACACACACTAAGATCTAGTGACTCCAATTCTCAGTGCATGCGCACCCAGTGACCCTAATTCTCGGCGTGAGGGTGCACCAAGAAACAGAGATTCTGATACTCTATTCTCGGCATGGGCACAGGGAGACTCTTGGCACATGCTATGGAACTCTAATTTTGGGCACACGCCAGCATGGTCTCTTTTTCAGCATGGTGCAGGCAGGGTCCCTGATTCTAGGTGCGTGCACGAGACCACACTGAGCGCCAGTGACTCTGATCCTGGGCGAGCTTGGCTCCCACCAGCCCAAGGCAGCCACACGTCTTGGTGTTGGAGCTCTTCAGTGACACTCAGGTGTTGTGAAGCTCCCACTGCACATGGCCCAGGCCTCTACAACTCAGCATTTGAACCTTCTAGTGATAGTTAGAATGGGGAGACAACAAAACAATCCCCAGAAGAAAGAAAAAGAGGAATTGACAAGAAAAGAAATAAGTGAAACAGAAGCATGCAACATGACAGAAAAATAATTCAGAGTAATTGTACAGTTCATAAACCAGATGGACAAGAAAAACAACAACCTATGCAAAAAACAGGAAGAAATCAAAGGTGATATAGCTACAATAAAAAACACTTAGATACCAGATTTCTGGAATGTTTTCCCATTGACATCCAGGACACAAATCCCTTTGGAGTAAACACCACCTTGTCTGAGCTCTGCTATCCCTCTCTTCCACCCAGTATGAGCTGTGGCATCCTGCATGCACAGTCTATAATGCATGGCAAAGCCCTTGTTTGAAATTACCTTGCTGCTCAGTGAAGACACAGGGCCAATTCTGTCATAAAAGTGTAAAAAAATTAAGTCTTAAAACAAATACAATATGAACCACAATATCTGAACAATAAAATTTGAGCAGGCCCTAAGGGAGATTGAAAATTGTGATGAGTTGGCACTTATGTCTAGGGTGGGAGTATGGGGAAGTAGGGAAGTTGGGAGGGGCTGTAGGCTGTATGACACAGATGACAGGGAAGGTAGGAAGAAAGATTTTAAACTTATGCTCTATATCTTGGCACAAATCTGGAACATTCAGACCACAAATGCCAGTAACCTTGGGGGAGTACCACTGCCTTGGAAAAGCTGGGGCAGTTGAGGTATATTATCCAGAGACTATGCTAATAATTACCTGAAACCATCTTGGTGGGTTAGTGCTGGCTTTTCAAAAATTACTATCTTAATATTTTATAAAGAACAGGCTAGAATTAGAATAGTGAGTAACATAATGAATCATGTACATTAAGAGTAGGCATCTTTGCATAAAATACCTTACATAGTATCTACACTAATAAAAGAGAAACATGGTAATTGGCGTACGACCGCTACCCTTTCCATTGGCTAATCAGAGAGATATGCAAATTAACTGGCAGCCAAGAAGGTGGCTGGCAGCCAGGAAGCTGATGCAAACAGGGAGGCTTGCTTGCTTCAGTGACGGAGGCCTCCAACGTTCCCCGCCTGACTTGCCGGCCTCTCAGCTGCAACTCTAAGTAACTATATGGGCTTCAGCCAGCCGGACCGCAACATTGTATCAAATACAGATGGTAAATAAAGGCCAGAAACCTGTTTTCAGCAGCTGAGGCCTCAGAGCTAAAGCTGGCCCAGAATAAAAAAGAAAAAAGAAAGAAAAAAGGAGTGGTTAGGAGCTTCAGTCCCAGACTGAAAACAGCCCTCAGCCCCTCACCCAGACTGGCCAGGCACCCCAGTGGGGACCCCCACTCTGATCCAGGACACCCGTCAGGGCAAACCTGCCAACCCCCACCCGTGCACCAGGCCTCTATTCTATATAGTAAAAGGGTAATATGCCTCCCAGCACCGGGTTCAGTGGAGTCGTGAGGCCTCCTGGCACCGGGATCAGCGTGACAGGGGGCAGCGCCCAAACCCCCTGATCGCCCTGCAGCTCTGTGTGTGACAGGGGGTGGGCCCCCAACCCCCTTCCTTCCGCACCCCACGGGCCCTGTTCTGTGTGTGACGGGGTAGAGCCATAACCTCCCCATTGGC